TCCCTTCCTCCTTCCTTTCTCTTCTCCTCCGTTCCCCCCACCCCCCCTTTTTGTTCCTTCTTGGTAGCCGATACCTCTACTGAAACAAAAGATGAATCACTCCATCACAATGTCACAGGAACAAATTGCTAGTTTTCTGGCCAATGCTTTTTTCTGCACTTTTCCACGTCGCAATGCGAAGATGAAGTCTGAGTATTCCAGTTATCCAGATATTAACTTCAACAGGTATGGCACTCTAGGGTAAATCGAGCTGATAACCTTTGAAAGGAAATACTATTGTCATTTAAGGGAGAAGCCTGTTTCTTTCACGTTTTTAGAAGTTCATTGACACTAATTTCAATAGATTGCTTCGTGTCTCCTCTTTATACCAGTAAGAGACAAGACAACTATATAGCTGTGTTATCAGCGAGAAATAAGGGTTTTATGGACAAAAAGATATGCTTAATATTCCAATTTTTTTCCATTGCACCCCACCTCTCCATGCCCCCCTCCCCCCCATACTCTTGCATTGGCATAATTAGGCTGATACAATTCCCTACCTCCTCATAGCCATTCATCTAAGAACGGCATATTTCAGTTGTGCCTTGAGAGTTCTTTCTATATGTACTTACATTAAAGATCAGTGTTGCCCCTGGCCATGTTTCTGTCTCCTTTGTGTCAGCAGTGGTGAACTGCGCATTAGGTCAGATCGATAGGACTTACCTCTTTAGGAACCATACAGTCTCTTATCGGGTCAAGGTGTTTGTGGAACTACATGTTAAAGTAAACCTATCTTTTTTTGCCACGAGTTAGCCTAAAAAGGTTTTAGGACCACAACAAGAATTTAATTAAGGATATTCTGATTTCTGAACAAACTCTTAGTCTTCTCTCCTTGGTGCTAGTTTAGACACAGATTTGATTTGGAAATTATTTAAATCTGCTCCTTTCAGTTATAAGGGGAGGAGCTCCACTGTTGATTAAAATTGTTCACACAAACTTGTAGATTTAAAATAAAAAAGAGAATTCTTGTTCTGGGCATTTCCATTCACGTTTCTTCCTCAGTTTTTCTTATTCTCCCGCTGTTAACATATGTAGTACATATGCTCTGAATTATAAGAAACACTATATTACCTGTGAACCAGCACACTGGATATTTGCATCGTAAGAGCTATGCTAGGCTGGCGCTTTTCAGATTTCGTGCTTGCTGTCATTAAGGCCTAGCACAGGTTTCTCTACAGCGCGTATTTCAGGAAAGAGAAAGGAGACCAGAAAATTTTTCTGGGAAAAGGTTCGCTGATTTGCTGTTGATCCCAGAAATGCAGAGTGGACATTCATGCTCTATATAATTCAGCATATTTTTCCACCATAAGTTCATAAAGAAATACAATGATAAGTAGAGAGTCGTTCATTAAAAAAGATCTATGTTCAGAGCGGTGGAAGAAGACACTAAGGTTGAGGTGAGCTATTTGAACGCACCAACTGTGCACTTAGAGCTGAACGTTTTCTTAAAGGACTTAAAAGATACCAATTTTTTCTGCACCTTAAGCTTAGTATAAATCAAACAGTTAAATTATTATCAAGTACAGCATAAAATGTTGAAAGAGAATTGAAATCACTGCAGTAATGTCCTCGGAACGTTGCACAGCAATGTAAAGTCAAAGCAATACAGTGTACTCTTAATGGTTAACTCGGCATAATGTTTTAAACTACTTTTAAAAATTCTTGACAAGTTATAAGGTAAATAGTTTACTGCCATAGACTCAGAGATCTAACAACCAGTGTAAAGAGGTAAGTATTCAGGATTTTCTGCCTAATTCTGATCAGTCTTCCTGTTTTTTCTGTCTTGGCTTCTTAGTCCATATAGCACAGTTGCTATAAACCAAAGTAAATTCCAACAATATTCTTTAAAAGGGATAACACGGCACACAGCCTTCTGGCTCTCCTCTTGCATTATGTATGAGGTAATGCTTGGCATGTAAAGTGGAACGCCACCCTTACTTGTTTAAGTGTGATAATATCGTTGCCAAACTAGAAAGAAGATGGGAAGCTGATGTCTTCTGGTTCCTGAGAATTAAAAGCAACTCTTCCTCAGTGTTGGCTAATTTGTGTGTGTGTTGTATACCAGTGTAGTCTTCTTTTTAAATATGTTTTGGTTTAATCATTTGTTGGACCAGGTATAATATTTCTGTTCTTTGTGTCAATCTAATGAGCAGATTAGTGAAAAATAAAAAATGAAAAATAGAGCTGTGACTCAGTGAATAGAATGGAGTGAACGTATCAGAGTAAAAGATGATTGATAGAATAAAAGCAAAGGAGATTGAAGTGAGCGAGCGATGGAGAAACTACTACAAGAATTTACACCATTTTCTGTCGTGCTACTTCATGCAATCTGACTTCATTTAAATCTAAAATGAGAGAGAAAGGGCAGGAGGGTGGACTATATCCCATTTTTCTCTCTTTTGTCAATCCTGTCTTTTCTCACTTTGAAAATTTAGCTCTTTGGTAGCGAGGAAAGACCATAAAATACCGTATTTTCAACTCTTGTCTCAGATCTGTAAAGAGGACAAAGTTTGGCCCACTGCAGTGGGTGTTTTCAGATTTTACAAAATGCACCAGCGTGTTCGTGCAGTGAGGATGACATGTTGCTTGAATGCTGGCGCGTGTGCTAGTGACTGCTTCTGATTGGAAGGAAAGCCGTTTCATGGGTTAGTGTCACATAAAGCATTGGTGCTTCACCTCTCCTTCTGATGGTCATGCTAGATTGCGTGGGGTGGGGGGGAGTGAGCATTTCTCTTTTGACACTGACACACTCTAGTTTAATAGTATGTTGTGACACAGAGTGTCTGTTTCGATTGTTCATCATGCTACAGAGTCAAGTAGCTTGTTTAATAAAATACTTGCTAATTTAGTTAAATTCTTCTCTTTTGGACTTGGCAAGGATGGGCCTCTTATGGTTCTGAAGTCATTAATAACAGTATTCATTAAAAATGTAGTTATTATAATGGCATTTAGTCTAACTTTGAAAGTTGGAATGGTTATGAATTCTAGTTGATAGAACGTCATCTATTCAGTAGTCCAACATTAAGTCATGCAAAATTATCCTAAAGCATTGTTTCTGTTCAAAACATCAAACTAAAACAATACTATGCTCAATTTTTCTTTCTAAAATATTTTTATAATATTTAACATGGAAATTGATAGGGTAGCCTTATGCGAAAATATCCCATCGCAAAAGAAAGACATTGTTAAGCTTGCACTTTTGTCACTATTGCTGAAAAATTTTCCACAGAAGTCCCATGCTGACTGAATGTAAAGCATGAATTGCACTGACTTTTCCAAGATCACTTTGTGGAGATGATCTCTGCAAGATGATCTCAGAAGAGTCAGTGCAGTTCATGCAATTCAGTTGTGATGGCTGCTGTTTGAAGCAGTTTATTTTGGTGTCCCTTTTAATGAATGTCCTTTATGAATAGTTTGTTTAAAGTAAAACTTTTCTCAGAAAAGAAGAAATGGTTGTTGTCTCTCTTCTTTTGAAATTTGTTAATGTCAACATTGAACTGTTTTCTTGCAATTTTTTTTTTTTTTGAGTAGATACTGAAAGGGATACAATCCACTGTCACACACTTTGTTCTATGGGACTTTTTTCTCCCTCCCATTGACTGAGTTATCACATTAAGAGGGAGGTCTGATAGGATTTAGTAATTTAGGAAACTACCAAGTTTGATATATGCAAAAGCAAGGTATAAGGGCGGGGGGGGGAACCCTCTTGCAATCCTGAATCGGTCTTCTAAATGACTGGGAACGTGACTGGTTTGTCAAAGACCCCCATTTTGCTTTTGCTGTGCCTTTAATCTGCTTTTGATCCATTCTTCGCTGTAGAAATAAGTTACAGAAGTTACAGTAACCCCTTCCCTGTTCTGCTTTCAAAAAACTAAGCTAATTAAACTGGAGATACTATGCCTCTGTCGAAGCTCCCGTCAAAGGAATTCAGGTCATATTCATAATTAAAGATAGTATATCTAAGAGCGTATACCTGCTGGATCTTTTGGCATAGAGTGAGGCGCTCTGGAACTAGCAGTACTCTGCTAGGACTGAATTTCTTCAGTCTTGTCAAGCAAGTTTTTAAAGTAATTTCAAGTGATTGGAAATGAGAAAAAAATACACTAGTTAAGATATATATGTATTTTATGGAATGTGTAATGTATGAAAGGAAATGGGCAAACTGTATAGTACATTTATACAGGAAAATTGAAATCTAATTTAGCAGTAATGCAATTGTCTCTTCATAAACAACATCAATTCTGCAATGCTAATGAGTATTCCCTGGGGAATATAGTACCCAGTGCCTTTGTGAGAACTTGGTTTGGACTGACAGATGCATCGTTCCTGTGAAAAGTGACTCTAGGTTTTTACAGATACTAATGCTAAATACTGAGCCTGTTAGTGTTCTAATTAGCCTTGGATGGTATACTTAAATTTTAAGTAGAGTGTTATTCTCTGAAAAATTTAAAGTGGACATTTGTATGTGGTAGATGATGAAATACTCTTTAAATAGCCAACTTCAAAAGGAAACAATTCTTAACATGTCCAGAGTAATTAATTTGCTTTAGTGATTGAAACAGTATATTGATGTCTGAATGCTTTACTCTTTTGGTAACATATTCCAGAATTTGACTGTAATGTGGGATGTCTCTTGTTTTAGATGCTCAACATAAAACATTTTAGCTTGCTGTTCTTTGGTGTTGAATACTCGGAGTCAGCATCTTTGGATTTTGTCAAAGTCAGGATGTGATCTTAAGTATAAAGTGATGCATTTAAGATTCCTAAATCACCGATAACTCTTTCTAAAAAGAGGTTTATAATCTTGTTGCTCCACATTACTTGCCAACATAAACAAAAATCCAAAATAAAAAGCTCAGAGAATAGGGATGTATGTAAGCATGTGAGAAGGGAAGATTGCAAAAAAAAATTGTATAGCTCTGTCTCTGTATGCTTATACAAATCTCAAAGAAAAGTCACTCTTTAATCTAAAGATGAAGTTCTAATTAAACATAAGATGTTGAGTGGTTCAGTGTTCTTAAATAACGTCAAGACTACAGTTGAAAGTTATGACATTTGACAGCAAATACGAAATTGCCTAAGAGGTTGAATTATTGAAGGTATTGTTTTTCTCGTACTTTATGCCAAAGGAATTCAGAACCTCTAAATTACTTTCTGTGTAAACGAAGAAATAGAAGGCTGTTTAG